CTGTTTTATAGAGTTGTCCTGTCTCGATTTGATATTCTCAATCATTCCTTTCCATCAGTGTCTCTCTTTTTAGTATATAATACCCAGTTACCCAAACATTAACCAGTAGGTTAATGTTTCTAAACTGTCAGAGATAGATAGAATGAGATGAAAAAACACTTTGTAAATTAAAAAGCACTATTTAATGAGTGCTGGTGCTGTTAGTTTGCTCCAAAGCCAAAGGAATTAACTGCCTTAACAAGATTCTGTTCCTGTCAGATGTGGCAGTACAACTCAATTTTCTAGTTATTAGCTACTTATACTTATTTATTATTAGCTATTTAACAGTAGCATACAGTTTCAATAATACTAACTTGAAAGCACAGAAGAAATTATTTTAAAATCCATGTTATTTCTACTTAGACAGATACAGTAACCTAGGATCTCAGCTAAATGATGGATTTTTTTCTTTCTTCTTTCTTTTTTTTTTCTTTTTATTTGTTATTTTTTCTTTTGTTCGTTCTTTCTTTCTTTCTTTCTTTCTTTCTTTCTTTCTTTCTTTCTTTCTTGTTTCATTTTGTTTTGTTTTTCAAGACAGGGTTTCTCTGTGTAACAGCCCTGGCTGTACTAGAACTAGCTCTTGTTGACCAGGCTGACCTCAAACTCACAGACATTCTCCCGAGTGCTAGGATTAAAGGTATGAGCTACCATCGCCCTCGGCTAACTGATATTCTATATTCTAATCATAGGATTAGGCATCTGGTTTACCTACAACCAGACTGGATTTGACTAAAATAGAATCTGAGACCTGATTGAACTACTTTCATCTTGACCAGTAAATTCCTTTCCCAATTTCATAAACAAAACGCCTTAACAAAGTGAACAAGTTAGATGAGGGTTCATTTCTAAAATGTCATGTCTTAATTAAGAATTTTAAAGCAGGGCTCTTTGGGGAATCACCATTTCAGAAGTTCCATAGCACAATAGAAAAATCTAGCTTCACTGAATGATGCTAAGTATGTAAATCATTTAAAAATATTGTACAAAGATAAAAACCAGGAACAATCTATGTCTGATCATTAAGACAAAACAACTAGTTAACTGTCTTAGAGGTTTTTTTTTTTTGACACATAAAGTTGTTTAATTAGATTGTCAGCAATTTAGAAAACCAGTTTGTGAGGATACATCCCGTTCGTCAGACAGAACTGAGAGCGCAGGTAGCCCTGTAGCTGAGGAAAAGCTTTGATCTTTGGCAGAATCTGCGAGTCCACCGCTTTCTGATCAGCCTTGCGCTGCTCTGTAATCTCATATTTCTCCTTCTCTGTGTCAAAGATCTCACCCTCCTGATGCCTGGGCAAGAAAAAGCTGCTTTTTCTTGAAGTAAGCATCAGTCAGGTGTTTGGGGATTTTAACTGTGCTGATATCAACTTTTGTAGAGGTGGCGATGACAAACTTCTGATGTGTTCTTCTCATAGGAACTCTGTTGAGGGCAAGAGGTCCTGTCACAAGCAGTAAACCACTGCCCAGTTGCTTCAGGAAAACCACTCTCTTGCCCCTGTGGCGCCCGGTAAGGATGATGAGGACAGTCCCAGGAGTGATGCTGGCACGCAGGCGTCTCACGTGCTGACTGAAGGGCTTTTTGCCATGGCTCAGCAGCTTCCGAGGCACATCTTCGGTAGGATAATACCTGGGCATTTTTCGAAGCTTGACCACCCGGGTACCACCATTCTTGTCACCACCAACTGGTTTTGTGACAGTGGCAAGGACCTTTTCCTTTTTTTTCTTCTTTTCAACCTTGTTTTTCGCAGCTGTGTATTTCCTTTTGTACATGGCCTTTCTGGAATACATAGCAGATCGGGAATACCTGCCAATTCCTCTAACAAGGACTGGATTTCGGCTGCAATGGGGCTTCCATTTCTTGAGCTTTTTAGCCTTAGGGTCGCCCTTTTTGGCTGCACCAGCGGCAGGGGCATCACCGCCAGCCTTCTTGGCTGCAGGTTTCTTCTCTTTTGTATCAGGTTTCTCACCTTTTTCACCCGCCATCTTGCAAGATGGGAAAGAGCTGTCTTAGAGTTTTTATTGCTGTGATAAAACACCATGACCAAAAGCAACTTGGGGGAGAAAAAAGTTTATTTCATCTTACAGCTTATAGTCCATAATCAAGAAGTGGGGGCAGAAACTTAAGGCAGGAACATGCAGGTCGAAAGTGATGCTGAGGCCATGCAGGAGTGCTGCTTACCTGCTTGCTCAGTATGCTTCCTTATACACCCCCAGGACCATGTGCCCGATGATAGCACCACAGTTGAGAAGCAAAAGGCTTGCCTACAGGTGAATCATATGGAGGCATTTTTTCCACCTAAGGTTGATGGTCAACTTCTCAGAGGACCCTAACGTGTCAAGTTGACACAGAAACTATCTAGCACATTACTCAAATGTTTCCTCTTCATAATATGAGCAATGCTTCAATTACACTCATCAGGTTAGGGTCCTATCAGTCCTATCAGTAAGCCCCCCCCCCCACTTACGAGTATTACTTAAAAATCATTGAGACAATGAATGCAAAAGTGCTTCCAAAATGGTGAAAGCAAAGACAAACCAGTCACTTCTCTTTTATTGCTTATCCTTAACAACAAATAAATCATAACCTATTAACATTAATATACCTTTAATAGCTTATCGATTTTTCCCAATATATTTGCTCAATGGGCTAAAATCAGAGGTCAAGAACAATTTCCTGGGCATATGTTGTGCAGAAGCTAATCTATATTTAGACAAATCCCTAAACTAAGAATCGACCAAGCTTATGAGCTTGTCATAGAGCTTGAGTTAATCCCCGCTGTGTTGGTCAGAATGTGATGAACTACTGATAGCTAGGGGACCTTAGGGCTTAGGTAAAGGGAAGAAACATTTTATGGTCTACAGAAGGAGCACAGCAGAGGACAGCAAGCAAGAGATTAAAAGGCAAACTGTGATAACTGTATACATCATATTCCCCTTCTGAATATTCTTTTTCTTCCCCTTATCTTTTGATTTAGGCTTATCCTGAAAGTTAGGTTGACCAGCACATGTAGCAGAAATCATCTTTAGGAATTTCCAAGCCAGGGTTTGAGGACTCAAGTCTCTATTTTGTTGAAATGTTTGTGCTTGTATTACTTCTTTGACCCTAAGCATCATTAAAGACACTCAGCCATTATGATGGGAGAACTCGAAGTCACCCTATGCATCATAAAATATGAAGAAACACAGCCCTTATGATGGAAGAACTCGAAGTCAGGTGCAAACCACACACAGAACTGAGATGTAATTGTTGGATTCCCAGTTAAGACCTACTATCAATTGTCAACCACGTGCAAGAACGATCTTATATGTTTCAAGCCCAGTCTAGCCTCTAGATAACGGAAGTTTTCACACCGCCAGGTAGAGAACTCAAGTGACTTCTGTCCATTCAGAGAACTGTGAGAAAAAGCTATGACATAAGTGGGGACAGTCTGTCAGCAACAGGAAACAAAAGTAATGTCTTGCTGGCCATAAAGTAAATAAAATGAGCATCTGGACACCTTACTTAGGAAACAAACATGGCAATAATGTTTCCAATGTATTTGTTACACCTTGTTTTCCTGTTCTGTCACCACCCTCAACTTTTGTACCTTGAAAAAAATTTCACCACAAATACACATAATACAGTTTAAATTTGCTTAACTTTACAAATAGTATGACACTACAGTAGTCTTTGGCATTTGCCTAATCATTTCTAAATAAAGTTAATTTCATCCATTTGAGACAGAGTCTCACTTTGCAGCCCAGCCTGTCATTGAACTTGAAATCTTCCTTTCTGGCTCAACCTCCAGTGCTGAAATTACAGTATGAGCCATGAAGGCGGGCTTTTCAGTTCTACCTTTGTGTTTGCATGGAGGCCATTCTCCCTGCTAAATAAAATCACATCCTCTAAAATTTACTCTTCATTAACATTTGGATTATGGTCATAAACATTGCACATTTTCTTACAGATGTATCTATGCAAGAGTTTACCTAAGGTATGTATGTAGAGAATGCAATTACTTAACTCTACAAGGCCGAATGGCTTCCTGAACACCTACAGTGTGACGTGTCTCTCATCACACCATTTTCATTAGACATGGAGATATCTTAGTTTCACAACCTAGTGGACATAAAATGGTACTGGCTATGGCCTTAGTCTCTTAGGCAGATAAATCTTTTCATTTATCTAGCCACATGTTCTTTAAATGTCTTGGGGTTTCTTTGTGTCTTGATCTCACTTTTCTAAAGGATGACGAACAGAAAGTTATAAGCATCTTCATGCTCTTGGTATTTAATGTATCTTCTTAATATAGTGCTGAGTTAACTCGAATGGTGCCTCTCACTTTCATGTGTCTTATTAGCCTGTGGTTTTCTTTTCTCTGGCTATCCTCGTTTAGTAAGCTATATGAGTCCCATACAATAATCTAGGAAGTCTTCCCTCACCACATATGCTTTCAACGTGTGGTTAAGATTCTGAATAGTAGTACTGCCTTTAAAAGAGGGGTAAAAGACTGAGGCAGGTGTTGACAAAAAGACGTCATAATTTGTTTACTATTCACTACTACTGGACAGATCTATTTAGCATCTGCATTTAACAAATATAATTTTGTCTATTTGATCTAAATACTTTGTCTACTTAGTTTATTTTGAACCAGGGTCTCACTTGTCTTTTGTTTTGTGATGGGAAACAGCCCAGGCCCTGGTGTGTGTGAAACATGCAGAGCTATTATTACTTACCATACTCATCCCCCTCTAATCTCTTCCTTTATTTGTACTGTGTTTCTCCTAATCTCCTTTTCATTGGGCTGTTTCACCGCCTGCCTCTTTTTTGAGAAGGTACCCTTGAGAGTAACACACAGTGAAATTATCTACCTTAACATTAACTTGGCACCAGGCACTCAGAGCACTTTGCTTCTAACCACCCTCCTTTCTTCTGAACCATATTTCCCGTTATATCCTTATTTGAAAATTCCACAACAAGATTGCATAACAATATTTATTCAGTTTTACAAGTTTACAATTTCTATAAATACTTCGTTATGATTGCTTTATATAAACAACATTTTAAATTTACAATATTGATCACTTTGTTAATCAACACTTCATTTCAGACCTTGCTTTTGGGGTAATTTTCCTCATTGAAGACCATCCCGTTTCAGTTTCTTTAACGAAGGTCTGTTGGTTCTGAGTTCTGCTTTGCACTGGTTTTTATAGTTCCACTCAAGTCTGAAGGCATTTCCTGCTTTCTTGTGTACACTGCTGCTACTGGGGGTCTACTCTGTATGAGACTGACTTGCCTCTGCCCAGGAGCTTTATGTCCCTTTGGTTTCTTAAAAACCTTGCTTTGTATCTTGTGGTTCACTATTTGGATCAAATCATGGATTTGATTTTTTTTAAATGTGTTTAAGCTATATTGTTTCTTGAATTTATAAGTGTTTTGCTAACACGTGTGGGGAACCCTGCCATCTCAAGTGCTCCTCTCTTCCATTCTCCCCCCCTGGTTCTCCTAGAGCATCACCCCTTCCTTCTCACCTCCTTCCTGCGGCTCTCCCTTCCACTCCACTGATCTCTTCCGCTGTGTCTGCTACTACCGACCTGCCTGAAGTTTGTCCTCACTCTGAGGAGCACTGCCTGGCTCTCGTCTACATCTACGGCTCTATCCTTTGTTCTCTACATCATTGTTGTGGACTTGGGAGAAACGACTTTAATGAGTATGTGTGTGTGTGTTTTTCCTTTAGTTTATCCTAAGGAGCACTACCAGGCTCTCATCCACATCTATGGCTCTATCCTTTGTTCTCTACATCATTGTTGTGGACTTGGGAGAAACGACTTTAATGAGTATGTGTGTGTGTGTTTTTCCTTTAGTTTATCCTAAGGAGCACTACCAGGCTCTCATCCACATCTATGGCTCTATCCTTTGTTCTCTGCGTTGTTGTTGTGCACTTGGGAGAAACAACATCAATGACTGTTTTTTCCTATAGTTAATTCTCATTCTGATTCAGTGTATCTTGTACTCCATGACTTAAAATCATGAACTAATAAAATACTGCTTGATCATAATTTATGGGCGTCTAGGGTCTAAGTTAGGAGGGCTACTAGTTTGTTTCTGCCAGATCTGCACTGAACTACAGGGTGAGAGCTACAGAACATTAACTGCCTACCTAGGACAGCATCTGCGATTCACACTTCTCTGTTTTTGGTGTGAGGCAAGCAGCATACTGCTGTGCTGCTACTAGCGCCTGACATCCAGGAAACCACTGTCCATTTGTATGCTTAAGATGGCATTCATGGCCTCAAACTTAAACCACGTCCATAAGCTGTTGCATCTGAGGGCATGTTGGAAATGTCCTCTAGGATGAACTTAGAGACAATTCCTGATGATATATCAACTGCGGTCGATACTGACTGCTCATAGTTTGCATATTTTGATCAATGTGCGATGTCATTCAGTAGGACTAAATTCTAAAATAGCTCACGTTTTGACTCTTCTGAAGATAAATAATAGTGATTTGTTACATGCAACTCCATTTAGATGCATAGTTTACTTTTGAAAACCTGGGCCCGATAACAAAAGCAGGGGAAACGAGGCAGCTGGTGATGTCATGTAAGTCAGAAACACATCTAATAGACATTCTCGTAGCAGAGCTTAAATGCAGGTGGGGCATTTGCATCTTTAGTTTTCATAGCTGTTGATCAGTGTGTTCCGGGTGATCAGGAAGCTCTTGGTGCCTCACCCTAATCACTGAAGTAATGGAAGGAGATGCCCGCAGCGAGGACTGCAACTGCAATTGCTGCAATTGCACCTAGAAGTGAAACAAACACAAAACAATGCAAGCGGAATGAGCGAAAGAATGGCTCAGCTGATCCTCAGGCTCTGCAATGCGGGTAACAGATGGACCTACAGACACTACACACCACAGACGTACACATATATGCACATACTGCAAACATGTACCAATATGTACATACGAAAACTTAGAGAACTCTTAGAGGAAAATACGGTAGTAAGCTGAAAAACTAGTTCATAAGGACTGGACAAAGTATCTCTGACACATGCACACTAAGAGAAAACAGAACACGTATTTTAGAAAGCTCCTGTAAATATATGTGCGTATGCGTCGACAGAAGTACAGAGACACACACTTACACACACATACCAATAGGTCAGTTGTGTCACACTTAGGTCACACCGACACACAGACCCGGTTGTGGTGCTTCTCCGTCATTGTAATGCACATCTATGGTGTAGCTATTGCCACTTCCGTCACACTCAGTAAGTACTGCCGTAATCTAACACTTTGCTTAAATGAAATTAATTTTAGGACAAAAAGAAAACTCAAAAGCAATTCATTTTTCAAGGTTATGAAAAAACAAATACCTATGTTTTGCTGAATCTTCGATGCAATTGGAGTTTCATTTGGCTGCTGTGGCTGTTCTTCTCCTGTGTCAGGCAGTGGCGCTTCGCTCCTCACAGACGAAGTCATACAAGCTGCAAGAAATCAGCATAAGCCTACATGAATCCAGAACCGCCATTTTAAGTAATATAATAAAGAAAATACACAATCAACAGCACTTTCCTTCCACTTGCCTATTTTTTTTAAAGATCTGGATTTTCACTGTAAAAACTGTTTCATTTTATTGTTACGTGCATTGGTGTTTGCCCACATGGAGGTCTGTGCTCTAGAACTGAATCGAGATCCTTCATAAGAGCAGCAAGTGCTCTTAACCAGAGTCATCTTTCCTAATCCCTGTTCATCTTTTACATGACATGAATCTGTTCTTTACTGAATGTAGGTGGGCTAAATTTCACAGGATAGAGATCACCAGAACACGTGACCTACACTGATGTGAATGACTCCTGTATCTATTCAGTTCTCAAACTAAAATTGGATTACAGAAAGAAAGTAAGAACCTAGTTGGACTATATTATGTAAAAGGTTTTCTATTTGGCCTAATGCAGAAAGAGATTATTGACTTTTAATCTCTGAAATTTGACATACACCAGGCAAATATGACTAGAAATTCTACCTTACAAACCTCTGAAAGTTAAGGAAGGCAAGTACTGCATCACATTTTACAAACCCTAGTAGGGAAAGCGTGAAGCTGAGGATTCTAGGTAGTCGACCTAAGGTTTGTAAATTGTTTTTCATCTTGTTTTTTAAATGGTAGAAAATAATTTTTAAAAGTTGTATTCGTGAGTGTGTGTGTGTGTGTGTGTGAGAGAGAGAGAGAGAGAGAGAGGTATGTTGTGGGCATGGGTAGAGGTGCACACGTGCCAAGGTAGACATGTGGGGTCTGAGGGTTCCTGAATGGACCTCTGATAGTCAGACTTTTACTGAGCCATCTTCCCAGCCCAAATATAAGTTTTCCCTTCATTATGCCGGCAATTGTTTATATACATTTGCCTATCTAAATTTACTTAACACTAACTGAAATTGTTTGACCTTGTAACATCTTTAGAGATCATACAGGCTAGTGGCTTTTGTTTCTCCTTCCAAGGTGCTAAAGAATCCTATGAAAACAAGATCTGACAGGAAAATCACCATATGTAAATCAAAAGAAAGCAGCATTGTGCAGGCTGTGGCAGAAACGGAGAGTCCTGGAAGAGCCTGGCCAGACTCACACCATCCCCCAGAAGTGGTGGCACAGTACAGTGCTACAGAATTCTAGAGAACTATGCTCAAAAGAACTATCTCAAGTCGATCCCTTCATTACCAACAACAGAGTACAGCAGTGTGTGTGTGTGTGTGTGTGTGTGTGTGTGTGTGAAAGAGAGAGAGAAGAAACATAAAATAGGACATACTGAAGTATCTGCTTATATTTTTTAAATACCCTGTGTCAATTTAAAAAGGTCTTTATGTATATATCCCATATACAAGCATAGACACATAAGGATGGCACATAAATGTATTTAATAGGGATCTGTGGTATCAAAATGGAAAGAAAAACTGTGAGGGGGGAGGCTTTTATGTACTTCATTATTTTCCTATCAGTATCAACAGCAAGTGCCATTACCAGCTGATCCATCTTGCCAGCCACCCAGTAACTGAACTTTTTCAATAGATGAGTTCCCTACAGTCAACAATTTATCCATAAATACACACCATTAGTTGGGTGTGGTGCTGCCACACACCTGATATTTCAGTACTCAGGAGGCTGAGACAGAAAGATAGCAAATTTGAAGAAAACAGATCATGCTTTAAAAGGGAGGGCCAGGCATTTCAGATACAGCTAAACGGCAGTGTGACTTTCTGCCATGCAAAAGGCCCTGAATTTCATTTTTAGCACCACAATAAGTAACCAGGATTGTTTATTTTTCCTTTAAATTATTAATGCTTCTCAGGCATGTGAGTATGCGTGGGAGTAAGAAGGAGTTCAAGGCCTGCCTAAACCACATAACAAGTCATGTCTCCGAAGACCAAGTACGGGGCGATAGCTCAGTAGTCGGAAACTTGCCTACCATGCACAAGGCCCTGGATTCAGCCACGGAAAATAATAAGTAATGGATATTTAGTAACAAAGAAAAACTGGCTCCAGTGCCAGGACAGAACTGACAAAGAAGAGTTTCAGCAAATTTTAAAGGTGTGTCTTCAACTTATTTTTATCTGATAATAAAGTACATCTGAATTATTAAGTTAATGTCTATGATGTGACTAACACATCCAAGAAATTCTAAAACCATGGTTATCCTTCACCATTAGTGAGTCATTCTGACAAACAATTTGTCTTTTACCCCTTAGGTCATTTAAAAGTATGTTACCTGAAGACACTTACTTGGCAAAACATCTATTTTTAAACATAGCAACTACTTGACAACTACACTATAAACCATACAGTAACAGTCAAACATATAATTTCCAAAACTTAGGAATAACACCAGATATTTAGAAAGCTTAATATCCCTAAATACATAACTCACTTCCACTTCTGAATGTGAACCTATTTTCACATTGTTTATAGAAACCCTGATTTCAGATGCTTCTGGAAATCCAAGTATATTATAAAATATTATGTTCACAATTTAATATTCATGTTTTTATTAATATGCAGAGGAAATTATTTGATAAAGTATCCTACCACCCTCCATTTATATGTATTACTTTTTAGAAAATATTCCCAAAGGAATCTGGGTCTAGGAAGGCCTTAGACAGGTCTGTAAGTGGCAGGCCTAGACTCAAGTCAAATCACACCACAGCTTGCATTATGCATCTAAAAGATAAGCTAAAACTACACACTCAATGTCTTTAGGTAAATAAAATAAAAGAATGAGAAATTGAATATAGCCCCAAACAAATAGGAAATTTAGCTTAAAACCCTTAATATATGCATGAAACTTGTAGTTTTGTTACCCTATCCCCAAACAGTAAAGAACATATTTTTTATTAAAACTATACAGTTACTAAATTAGCCCTTCCAATTCAACAAATCTCAGTGAGGCAAAGCTGATGTAATTCTAGATAATAATTTTTATTCTTGGCTACCTCAGACCAGTGTTCAGCTCCTAAAACGCCTGATCACTTCTATTTCATTCTTCATTCAATATCAGCTTAAAGTCAAGAAATGTCCCTGAGTCCCACACAGAGAGAGCGCATCTGCTATGTACCTGCTAATCTGTCCACTTTTCTACTACAGACCTAATCATCTTCACAACAGTCTAGGTGTTCATACATTCTGCTGTGCTGCAAGATTCTTGAGAAGTACTACTACATTCTATCTTTAGAATCCTAATGTTCAATATACTATAGGCAATCAATACATAATAATAAATTCTTAGCTTGATTATAATTTATATGTCTCAAAGGGTTTTACATTGAATGGTAATACTGCCAGTGCATTACTTATTACTCATTACAGAGAAAAATATGCATTTCTAGAAAAGTCATTGTTTCCTATCAGTGTAGTTTCTATAGTACATATTCTATATCTGAGTATCCACACCCAACTTTCAAACTCCTCTTGTGTTCCCTTTGTTACTGTAATAAATAACATTCAGGTAACCCATCTGGGACGGTAAGCATTGCTGGTCCACCTAGAATGCTAGGAGACGAACCTCCAAGCACACATGAGGAATGACCTCAATTCGGTTACCTAGGATGGAAAGACCTACTGTAAATGTGGGTGGCGCTATCCCCTGAGCTTGTATCCTGGACTGCAGAAGTAGAGAGCTCGCAGAGCGTCAGCATTCTTTGTTCTCTGCTTCCCGACTGTAGACACCATGTGACCTCAACTCTCAAACTCCTGCCACTGTGACTCCCTCCAGGACAGACTGCAGTCCTGAAGGGTGAGCACAGGAAGTCCTGGCTCCCTTTACTTGCTTGCCAGGAATTTTATCACAACCACAGAAAAGCAATCAAGACATCGTCTTCACCTTACACTGCCAGAGTAAGAAAAAGGAAACAGGAAGAAAATCAAAATGCAGTGAGGTATAAAACTACATTCCCAACTGGGACTGGTGGCTAATGCCTTTAATCTCAGCACTCGGGAGGCAGAGGCGGGTGTGACTCCAGCCTGGGCTACAAAGTGACTCCCAGGACAGCCAGAGCTACACAGAGAAACCCTGTCTCGAAAAACCAAAAACAGAAAAAATGCAAAATCAAAACCAAAAAAAAAAAACCCTCCAACAACAACAGCAACAAAAAAAAAACTCTAAATTCCCAAACTACACTTATAAAAGTTAAAGCCTACAAAAGCAGATATATGAATTACTATTTACATGCTACCTAGGACTACTCGATTTTTAAAGAGGGATTATACGTACAATTTTATCATGAATATTTAAGATACTTTATATTCCTTGGATTATGATATTAATATTTAACATGATATAAGCAATGCTAAAACAAAAGATAAAATATGGCCCACGGGGCAAGCACTTAATTCTGATGATAAATAAAGTGTATTGTTTTGAGGTCTAAAAGTTATTTCATTTCTTTTTTTCTTGTTTTTTCTCAAAACAGGGTTTCTCTGTGTAGTCACTGTGGCTATCCTGGAACTAGCTCTGTAGACCAGGCTGGCCTTGAACTTATAAGGATCCACCTGCCTGTACCTGGGCGATTGTGGCACACGCCTTTAATCCCAGCACTCGGGGGGGAGGCAGAGGCAGGCGAATCTCTGTGAGTTTGAGACCAGCCTGGTCTACAGAGCTAGTTCCAGGACAGGGTCCAAAGCCACAGAGAAACCCTGTCTCGAAAAAACAAAAAATAAAATAAATAAAAGCATGCGCCACCAATGCCAAGTCTAACAGTCATTTATTTGCAAAAATGAGATGTAGTCAAAATTATCGGGCTTTTAATAAAGTTGGTATTATCTACTGTATTACATGGCAATCTGTAAGACAGATGTGTGCCTGAGAAGTGAAAACTAAAGGCAATAATGGGGGAGAATATGAGAACACTGTAACTGGATGTCTCTTCCCACCCTGAAGGAGTAGGAACTGAAACCAAGGTCTTATTTTTGTCATCTAGACGGGCAGGCTCAGGAGGAAGACAAGACTCAGTGGCCTTGGTGTTTGCACACCCTCACCCACGGAGGGCATGGTAAGGAGAAAAATACCAGCACCCTCGAGTCGAGACTGACCATCTGACAGGAAGGATAGATGACCACTGACTGTGCTGACCCCTGTTGTACAATACACTTGCTAAAGAGAAGAAGACAGAACTTTAGGAACCGAGTTCAGTCTACTCAGAGTACTGGCTCTCAGGAAAGAAAATACAGTTTAAAGACAGAAAAAGAAAAGCCTTGTAGATCACTACTTACAATACATATTGCCTATGTTTGCAATTGTTGTTACTGTTCTACCTGAGAAGTCCAGGCTGGCCTGGAACTCCCTGCCTAGTTCAGGCTGGCAATTCCCTGCCTCAGCCTCCTGCGTGCTAGAACTTAGGGACTAGCACTGAAATCTTCCACCATGCCTGGGGAAAACATTTTTTTTTTCTTATTGAATCACCAATCAAGTAACTGTAGACCCTAGCATTCGGATCATTATTCTTAAGTAGTCCCTAGGTACTCTGAGGATCTTACTATATTCTCTGACATCAGTCTATCTTTTAAATCAGAGTAGAGGATATTGTTTTGTTTGGTTTGGTTTCGACAACAGAAATCTTGTTTTCTCATCCTGGCGCTAGAAGCTGAATATCAAGGTATGAGTACTTTTGATGTCTTCTGAATACACCCTCCTCGGCTCGCAGAGAGCTGCTGTTTTCCTTTGTCCTCGCTGGCCCTTACTTGCTGTATAATCTTTTCTTGTACCCCTTTATATGTGTCAATGTCCTCTTGTCCTAAGGATGCTGGCACAATTTGATTAGGGCCTATGCTAATGATATCATTTAACAAAATCAGCTTTTAAATATCCCCAAATACAGTCATAATCTAAAGAACTTGAAGTTAAAGCATTAACCCAATATATTGGTGATGATGGGTATACAATTCCACTCATTCTGGTAATTAATTCTTAGGATGATCTAGTAAATACTATTTGGTAATGGTAATAAACAAATGTAATTTGTATTATGATAAAGAAATTTTATTTCTTTAAATCACTAACCTGTTGAAAGATACAAGATGTTTCCTAGCAAATACACAAATATTTTCAAGAGGTTTATAGGCCTTCTGAGTCAATTTCGACTTTAAGAGTTTTAGTCATTACAGGTTAGAAATTCCTAATCTAGAAGAAGGAAAATAGTTAGAAAGGAAAACAAAACAAAACAAAAAAATATTGTTCAGCCAATGAGGAGCAGAAGGAGGGAGAACATGAGCAAAGAAGTCAGGACCACAAGGGGTGCACCCACCCACGGAGACAGTGGGGCTGATCTATTGGGAGCTCACCAAGGCCAGCTGGACTGAGACTGAAAAAGCATGGGATAAAACCGGACTCTCTGAATATGGTGGACAATGAGGGCTGCTGAGAAGCCAAGGACAATGGCACTGGGTTTTGATCCTACTTCATGTTCTGGCTTTGTGGGAGCCTAGCCAGTTTGGATGTTCACCTTCCTAGACCTGGATGGAGTGGGGAGGACTTTGGACTTTCCACAGAGCAGGGAACCCTGACTGCTCTTCAGACTGGAGAGGGAGGGGGAGAGGAGTGGGGGGAGGGGAAGAAGGGTGGGAGGAGGGGGAGGGAAATGGGAGGCTGGGAGGAGGCGGAAATTTTTTATTTTCAATTAAAAACTAAAAATAAAAAAAAATTGTTCAGAAACTATACCAAAGAGAATAAAGTGTGTGGAACTATTTGGCTCTAAAATATTTAGAACATTAAATTTAGAAATTTGAAGCATGAATACAGCCAAGAAGCAATGTATGTGTTTTATGGATTCATATTTTTGAACAAAGTTTAGTTACAGGAAGGCTGACTGCTACCCAGAATAAAGAATAGAATCTGTGTAGTCATTTTCTTGGGATACAGATCTATATATTAAAAAGAAAAGAGATGAATTACAGAAACTCTACTGATACCCTACCATTTCCGAGATTCATTTAGGACCCAGCAATTCTCACCCTGTGGGAGCATATCAGACACCTTGCACATCAAATAGTTACAATTTATAACAGTAGCAAAACTATAGTTATGAAGAAGCAACAGAATAATGTTATGGTTGGGGTCACCACAACAAGAGGACTGTATTAAAGGTCACAGCACTAGAAAGGTTGGGGACCACTAATTTAGGTTACGGTTAACAGAATGGCTCAAGAAACATCTTTAGGCACTAAAACCAGGAAGTGAACACAACAAAATCTTCCTTCTCCCCATGAGAGTTCTGCTGTCAATGTGACACAATGTAGCCTCACAAGGGAAGAGAGTTACAGTAAGGGACTGTTTGGATCAAGTGGGTCTGTAGGCATGTCTGTGACTGTCTAGACTGCCTGAGCTGATGTGGGAAGACCAGGCTGAAGGTGCCCTCTCCTGGTATGGAGCCTTGAATTACAAAGTAGAGAAGGCTAGTTGAGACTAAGCACACATGCAAACATTACTCTGCTCTTGCCTATGAAGGTGACAGGACCAACTCCTGTCACGATGACCAACTATAAACTATAAGCTAATATAAACTCCCCTTACTGCTAAGTTGTTTTCTGTCAGAGTATTTAATTGCAGCAACAGAGATGAAGTAAAACATCATACTAACACTAAACATTCGACATTCTCGGTTTTACCAGATCATTTCTTGGGGGAAAAAAATGTCTCTCTCTCTGGAAAATTTACACAGACTAGGTAGCCCCAAATTCCTAGGCTCAAGAGAGCCTATCATTTCATATTTTAGCCTCTTGGGTAGCTGTAATAGCATGGAGTCCTCTGCTCCAATATACTTTCTGTTTTAAAAATTTTACTTTTTAAAGACTTCTTTATTTTTTGCCTTCTTAAACGCCACATGCCTTTACCAAAATGAACCTTATACTCTCCCCTGATGGGGACTGGGAATTAATGAAACAGAATTGAATAAGAAGTTAGAAAAGGAATTTTTAAAATTATTATTCATATTTAATAAACATTCATATTCAAAAGTAACACAGACACTTTCTCCCAAACCACAAACTTCTAAAATAAGCTGTTTTTAACTCAGTACCTACTGTTTACAAATAATTTTATTACATAATATTTAGAAACATGTATTTGGACATTTCTTTACATATACATTTTTATATCTTATACTTATTGAAAATAAAACTAAAAGGCAAATCAAATAAAACCTCCCAAAGGTCAGGTCAAATGAGCAAAGGCTAGCGGAATCTCTGGGCTACACAACAGGACAGTATCAAGTCTATGCTCTATCCAAGCCATCTTTATATGATTTCTTCAGCTGCCCATCGTACTTTAGCGTCCCCCTCATATGTTGCGGGAGGTCCTTCCGCCCCTCCAACCAATAGCTGCTGAGATACCAGCCCATTGGGGCGTGGTCTCTCTCTCCCTTTAAAAAAGCGGTCCTCCGCTAGCTCTCTTCACTTCCTGCTCCGCCAGCTACTAGACTCCCTTCCTGGTTGCGCAGAGGGCTGTTGTCTGGGACAGCTGAGCATGGCATCTCTGCTCTAGAGAGCAGAGCTTTTGGGTCTGTCTGAGGAGTCTTACCTCACTTCCTCTTCCTCCTGTTTACTCCTCCCACCTATGTTTTAACCTATCAGGGCAAGCAGTTTATTTATTTAATTAACCAATGAAATCAACAGATTGATATATGACACTCCCACATCACTCATACAACAAGGACATAAAAAAAAATGACAAATTAAACAGGGAAAATTTTCTAAAACAGCTAAGAAAAACTTTTCTCATGTTGAAATTAATTCCTGAAAGCTACATACTTCCACACATTGAAAGCTAAATTTGTCTCATGAAGATTCACTTGCTAGACTCAAATAACACTTGATGTATTTGGGTAGTTTCCAAAGAAAATACTCATTGTATGTTTTTATGTGTAGAGATCTGTCATATGTGTGTGTTAATAATTTGAAGTATTGCCAGGCGGTGGTGGCGCAAGCCTTTAATTCCACCACTGGGAGGCAGAGGCAGGCGGATCTCTCTATGAGTTCAAGGCCAGAATGGAGTATAGAGTGAGTTCCAGGACAGGTTCCAAAGCTACAGAGAAACCCTGTCTCAAAAAACAAACAAACAAATTATTTGAAGTATCAGAATTAGCTTTAAGAAAACAGGAAGGCATGGTGAATTTAGATGAGGTCTAAGCAGATTTTAATTACCTGTGTTTACTTCCTCTGCAATTTCCAAGTCTTCTATTTGAATCTCATGATCTAACATCTCTGAAAAATGGTCTCTGATTTCTTCAGCCGATTCATCACCAAATTTATAATCACATAACCTTATAGCAGATCCAGGAAGGGGAACAAAAACTCGGTGAGGAAGTTCATAATCTAAAAAGAATATTACATATCAATATTTAGATATCGGCTATTGGTATTAATAAATATTTACTTCAAAAAACATAAAAACATCTGTTTGAAATGACAATGATTTTGAACTTTCTAGTTGATGAAGCTGCTTTTATCGAGTTCTTTCTTTCCTCAATTTCCCTTGCTTCTTCAAAAGGACCTAGATAATATACCTATGAAACATACAACCCTCCTTGCCTTTAATGTAGAGATGTTGCTAATTACATATCATCATAAGACCCATTGTGTACTACGATGGAACACTCAATTTTGTAACTCCCTTATAGATTTTTGCTGCCTTTCTTGTTTTAGCCTTGCAAGTACTGTAAATTTAATTGCTAACTTTTTCTTCATTTATCAATGTTTGAGGTCAATGCAAGAGCCTTCCCCAACTTTGCCTCCCCAACGCTGAATAGAAGCCCATGCCACAACATCTGGCTTTGTTCTTGGGATTGAACTCAGGTCCTCGTGCTTGGGAGCAAACACTTTACTTGGCGAGCCATCTCCCCAGAAACCATGTTTCACATTTCTTTGGATACTTGCAAACTAGACTATACACCTCTAAAAGAAGTTACTAGTTACATAAATATAACTGCTGGTTAGCTCAAAATGTGGCTCTAACAAACTAATACAGAAGTAGACACTTTTGTAATTAGTAATCACGTTGTCTGCATCAGATATGATTAAAAAGTTATCAATGTAAAGATCAAGCAGAAAATTGGGGTCATTCTATTTGCAACCTACACTTCCTCTTCAAGAAACTAGGATTACTTTATATAATTACAAACAGAAGATGCTAAAGTATTCCTTACGTGTCATGGGAAATTCGGTGACATAAACTACATGATTCTTCCACTTTCAGTGTATGATCTCATTTGTGTAGAACTGGAAGAATAATTTTACTCTTTGACCACACTGCCTCCTACTGTTAGAATTACATAACTGCAGTTTGTACCACAGCATGCAAAATTAGGATGATGGTATTTTTTGAACCAAACATACTTGATAGTCAAAAATTTGAAAATGGTTATAATATTCATGGATAACCGACAGTAAAATCTTAAACACACATCAAATTTGGAGTCTATGTTTGCCCAATTAAAGAATGTTACAAAAACTGAGTGTCAAAGAACTAATTGCAATGCATATAAGTACTCATTAAAGAAGAAAATCAAAACAAAACATTTAGAATCAGAAATTCATCCACTAGCAGAAAAGAAGGAATGGAGACAAAAAGGTATCGTTTCAAAAGCATATTTAATATATGTTTTGAGTACAAAACTATTTTAATACAAATCACTAAGATATAAAACATAAACTGCTTATATTTCCCCAGAGATGGAATCCAGCCATCTGGAACCTAATCAAGTCTGCTAGAGAAATAGCTAAGAAATATAAAACATAACAGCGTATAAACAGTACCTCAGAAAATCCACTATACAGCAAACACTAATAAGTTAATATTTGAGTACACCTATGGTGACTTGAAACCTACAACACCAACGAAATCTTAAAGTCAAACTGCTGACACTGTCCACTCTGGCAAAAATAGCTCAATCAGAGGCAATTATTTAAAAAATCCTCTCTGCGAGTGGAGACAGAATGCAGCTATATAAAGAATCAAAGGGAAATAATGGAATAGAAAGTGTTATATGGGGCAGGAATGGAAGGGGGAAAAAGAGGGAAGATAGGAAGGGATAACTAATACAAAAGACTTATGATAACCCAATACTGTAGATGCTTCCTAAAGTATTTACATGCTCATATATAAAAAGTTTGGGCAATGGTGCCTCTACAAATAAAAAGTCTGGTGCTAAGAATGGGTTGAGTCTTTTGGAGTTACTGGCGAGGAACATCCCAGAAATCCCTAAACAGTATAGGCTTTTGCCAGTGTTCTTGTTTGCTCACCACGACCTCACTGTCAGACCCTACTGCTGAGAGCTAGAACATGAAGAAATCAAGCAGGTGCTCATCTGATAGCCTCATTCTTGCAGGCCAGATAAGAGTACTAGAAGTGGTTTGCATGCTACTCCATGAAAAAGAAATCGCTCTTACTCCGCTGTGAACCCTGCTAGCTACAGTGACAACTGGCTTGGTAAGACACGTCGACTAGTGCCAAAGGCACTGAAGTCATGTGGAGAACCAACCAGTTTCAGACTGGACTTCAAGCTTACTCCAGTTTGGAACTCACACCTGGCACTGTTGGCAGGGCCAAGAACCTCTGGCTGGCTAGGACAGAGGCCCTAGATGACTCTCTATGCTGTTGAATGGGCATCACATTAAACCAACCCCTACTGACTTACTGTTATACCCATAGATTAGTGTATCTCCCAACCCTCACCAGAGGAGTCTCTTTTGTAGTAAATGGCAATTAACACAGAGACCCACAACCAGTTGTGGTACAGAGATGAGAGATTGCAGAACGCTCAGGCCTAAGTGAGGCATCTGTATCACACACAACCCTGCCCAAGGCTCTGGGATTATTGCAGAAGAGGGGCAGAAAGACTGTAAGAGCAGAGATGGTAGATGACTATTAAGAAACAGTGCTTTCCGGACACTGCAGGACAAATGCACAGATGGACACAGAGCGACTGTGACAGCATGCACAAGGCCAGCACAAACTCAAGCCATGTAACTGCAGCACAGAGAAGGGAAGCGAGTTAAGGGGCTGTTGCAATTGAATAGCTGCTGAGAGCAAAGTCAGTCTTCTCAAAGGTGTGGCCCCTAGAGGATTAAGCATGCTCCAGTGTAAGACAAGACATCCAAAGATACGGGGGCAGCACAAACAATGCCTGGTGTATTTAAAAAAAAAAAAAACAACAACAACAAAAAAGAACAAATCTGGTGGGTAAGGAGGACCGGGAGGGGTGATAGAGGGAGTGAACACATTGAAAGAGATGCTCAAAGGACTCATTTTTAAAAGGAGGAGGAAAGGATGCAGAACATTAAAACAGTCTTCCTTGGAACTGCTAAATGTTGATAGCTTTGCTAACAGAAATGTTCAAAACAGTGGTGGAGGAGGGAGAACTGAAAAGATTTTACTCAGCAATAAAAGTAAAAAAATAACTTACTATTATAAAACATGCTATAGAAGATGACATACATGATAAATCTTGATTATCTTACTGTATGAAACAGAACAAACACAGAAAAAGTACTTAGAGTCATACTTTTTTTTTTTGGAGTTTCATTCAAAAGCAGGTCCTCAAAAAGTATTTCACAGCGATCAGCAACTGTGTTCAAAATGTCTCTCTTCACTGCCTATGGGAAAAAAGACACAGTAAGAAATAAAATACGTCCAAGTTGAATTATTTCATTACAAAACAAATCCTCATAGTTTGCTTTTGGGGCCAACAATGTCCACTCAATAACTGGCACACCATTCTGCTCGTTCTTCTCACACACTCAGCATAACTGTATAACTGTTACTATAACACAGATGTAGCTTAATTATACAGCTATGTAACCACATTTAAATACTAAATTAAAGTTTGCATCTAAACAAAATTTTCCAATATTCTAAATCAGAAAATGTATTATGATATAAATGCTGGTCACCATTTTTTTTTTTTTTTGGACTCTGAAACACTACCTAAGAAGTCTTTCTGTGAATACTTCTATTAAGAAATTGGACTCCCCTCAAAAGAAATTATTTCAAAGGTACTGACATACAAGTGGAATACTTATTAAACCCATATAGACAGTCTACACATAAAAATCTTGAAAGCGATTAGAACTTCATTAATTGAAACCAAATTAATAATCATAAAATTAAGATAAAAAGAAAGCAAACTTCTAGGGTTTAATATTGTGTTAAGTTGTTTCCATTGTTTTCACGCCAGCTACTCTTTTACCTGCACGGCATCTTTAACCTTGGGTCTGTTGCTGTGGATGAAAGCCCGACATTTCACATCCCCCCGGAGGTTTACAGAGCCACTGCAGATCTGGACCGTGGCTGTGGATCTGTGGTCTGAACTCAGGGGCTGAAAGACAAAATTGTAGTCCATTATTAGTCCTAACAGTCCAAACATGATTCATTACAGGAAACATTTAACCAGTATGTGGGCATTTTGTAGAAGAGGAAGGATTTCTTGTCTACACACTTGAAAATATTCTCCATAAGCGATTAAAAGAAGTTCTTCATATGTCTCTTTATAAATGACACATTTTCTGGGCATTCTTAACATAGAAAGAAAACCAACTACATCTTAATGTTTTCTCGCTAACATGAATATTTAAAATACTAGTACTTAATATATGCCCTAAAATCCATTATTTGTAGATTCTGTAGGAAAGTATTATGAAGATAAAAAGCTGCATACAGAAGGCATGCTGCAGTAGGAGATACAAGGCATGGAATACAGGAAAGCCACAAAAGTAACAAACTAGGACACATAAACATGGTAAATTCTAACCAACGCATAGACACATTTATTGCCACGCTTTCCTCAGGTAAGACCCTAACATCATCTAGAGTGTCACCAGAAAATGCTATTATGTTTCAAAGGGATGACATGGCTGCTTTCATTTCACGCCCCATTGTCTCCAGGGTACACAGTACTCACTACTTGTTTTTCAGATGCTCCACTCATTTCAATGTTTATTATTATTTTATGCAAATAAATGTTTTGCCTAGAACATATACCTGTGTACATGTATGTGCAATACTGAAGAAGCCAGAAGTGGGTGTCAGATCCTCTGGAACTACTTATAGATGGATGGTTGTGAACTGCCATGTGGATGCTGGGAACTAACCCTGGGTCCTCTGCGAGAACATCGAGTGCCATCAACCCACCCCAGTTCAGACAGTTTAAATCTGATTGGCTTAACTGCCAAAACAAGGAGAGCATGATAGCACTGAAAGTACTTCTGAAGGCCTATGATCATGATGGAAAGAAAATAATCAGGATTACAACATCAGTATCGGTCCATCAGTCCCAGTCTCTTGAATTCAAATGTCTATCCTTGAAGTCATCTACCTGTGGGTCTTACAGTCTTGGCACAGCCTCCTCTGTGGAGATCTGAGCCTTGTGAGGGTGTGACAAAGACACCTTATTTAAGGGCTGAGTGCTCCAAAGTCTCTTGCTCTCTCAACACTGTACAACTGCAGGTCTCTGAGTTAAATGCCATCTACTGGGAGAAGCTCTTCTAATGAGGGTATAGACATATGTTATTAGGAGTCATTTTGTTGCTGTGTTGACTTAGCAGAATAACTGTAGTAGGTTGTCCCCTAGGGCCAATGACCTATCTAGTCTCAGGTTCCTGGCCTCATTAATGGTAATAGGTATGGTTCCATATCATGAAGGAAGTCTTAAAACCAATTTTCTAAAAAAGTGGCCGAACAAGTGAGCACATCTTGTAAGCAAGTCATTATTGCAGAGCATGGGATTTACAGCACGAGATTTATGATTATTTTTCTCCTCCAGTAGCATAAATAGCACAAGGCAGAAGCACATATGAATTCAAAGAGGCTGTGATCGCATGCATACGATCTGAACACACTCAGGTCGAACAAAACACCAGTATAGTGCAGAGGAAGTGAGCACAAGTCCCACCTCTAGCCAAAAAGCTATTTGCAATTGATAGGTGCTGGAAGAGGAAAAATCAGTTTTATTCAGTGGAACAACACTGGGTATATCAAACACACTCCACAATACGGTCCATGCTCAGATGGCCGACGCCATGAAGATTTATTTAATTATATGTGTGTGGGTGTTTTGCTTGCATATGTTTGTGCACCACATGGGAGCCTGGTGCCCTTGGAGAGGGTGTTGAATTCCCTAGAACTAGAGTTACCAGATAGTTGTGAACCTCCACATTGGTGCTGGGAATTGAACTTTTGATCTTGATCTGCTGTAAGAGCAGCCAGTGCTCCTAACTCCTGAGCCACCTCTCCAGTCTGAGACGCCATGGATTTTGTTTATATGCTTGTTTGCTTGCAACTTTACACTTTTTTGGTTTCTTGAGACAAGATTTCTTTGTGTAGTTCTGGCTGTCCTAGAACTCACTTTGTAGATCAGGCTGGCCTTGAACTCATAGACCTGCCTGCCTCTGCCTCCTGAGCTTTGGGACTAAATGCATGTGCCACCATACCTGGCTATTTTAAACTTGTAGGAGAGAGAAAAATTGTGAATTTGTGAGGGAACAGATCTGGAAAGCGTTGGGGTAGGGAAAGAACATGATCAAAATACACTGCATGAAATTCTCAAAGAATACATAAAAAACAAATTAAAAAAAATAGCACCAGTAACATCAAAAACCAGTTCTAAAAATGTAATTTATGTTGGGCGGTGGTGGCACACGCCTTTAATCCCAGCATTTCTGAGACAGGGGCAGGCAGATCTCAGTGAGTTTGAGGCTGGCCTGGTCTATAGAACAAGTTCCACGACAGTCAGGGCTAAACAGAGAAACCCCATCTCAAATCCCTCACCCCTAAAAGGTAAGTCCACTAAAAATACAAGACAAAAAAAAAAAAAAAAGTACTGCTAAGTACTATGAAAAAATACTGGAAACTAGGGTGAGAAGCTTAAATCCAACGCCAAACTTAGCAATGCTTTATAGTTAAACACAGAGAAAAATAGGAAAGAATCTTTATGAACCAAATTACCTCTACTCCCTCTTAGTTAAAAAACTGAAAATTTTGGTACTATTTCTGAGTTTCAAACTCTAGAATAATATTGAAATGAAATTTCTTATACTTCCTATAATCATGGTCTGTTCTTCGGGATAGCATGAGGCGATATTAAAATGGACAGCATTTAGAAGTAACTAGTAGTTTTAATTTAAGTGATTTTTTATTTGATTGGTTTCTTCAATAGACCCCATTTTAAAAAATATTGAATTTCCATATAGATGTGTAATTTTAAAATATAAAGAAAAAAATGAAACTTGCTAATTACTACTCTAGAGATTTTTTAGATTTATTTTATGTGTATGAATGTTTTGCCTACATGTATATCTGTGCACCATGTGTTTATATAGTGTACTTGGAGGTCAGAGGAGGTAACTGGATTCCCTGGAACTGGAGTTACGGACGGTTGTGAGCCACAATGTGGGTGCTGGGAATCAAACCCATAATCTCGGCAAGGACAATAAATGCTCTGAAACACCGAGCCATTACACCAGACCCCTTTGGAAATTTTTTTTTTTTTTTATGAAATTAGAGTATAAGATGAATACATACCTCAAATTAAGTACATGACAATTCTCCATATATCAACACACATCTTCTTTTAAAAGTTTCTAAGAATTCTAAGTTTAATAATAAAATCAACAGCTCAAAATATTTAAATACATATGTACACATGCTTTTAAAACTGTTATTTACATGGAAATACTTTAATAGCCTTGAGACAAAAGGCTCAAAATGGTTAAATCAGAGCAATGCTTCTTGGGAGTAACCTTCTTATAACTGAATGCTTTATATAGTTTCATATCTTGCTATATTTTTTAATTAATACAATTATATTCCTAATTTTTCATTATGTTAGCTGAAATTACTTATTTTTAAATAAGTGGATTTAAAAATATTTACCAACTGTGTTAGCACTCGGACATCAAAAGAATGAGCAGTTGCTTGAGTATTTCCTCTAGATTTTTTCTAAAAAATATAAAAGCCAGACTGTTAAGGTTATATACAAAAAATAAAGGATAATTTAGGAATTATTTTACTTTTTCTAAATACCAAGAAGAAAATACAATCTTAATTACTTTAATTTTGCTTTTGTAAAGTCACACTGAATTATATACTCCAAATTAACCAATTAGTCTCTTAAAATTATTCCCTACTTTAATTCTTTCAGATTTGAGTTCAGTAAATTATTTTCTGTAGGTCAAATTTACATTGTCACCTTACTCTGTAAATGAGCATTTTCTGGAACCATCAAGATCATTCATTTATATGACCATCTATTGACTGAGGTTTCTATTCTGCCTGGTCCCACAGTTGTTCAGTCCCAAAGAAACACACAGAGGCTTACATTAATTATAAACTGGTTGGCCTATTAGCTCAGGCCTCTTATTAACTAATTCTTACATCTTAAATTAGCCTATTATTCTTGTCTCTATTAGCCACATGGCTTGGTACCTTGTATCAGTGAGGCATTCTCATCTTGCTTGCTCTGTATGTAGCTTCATCTGTGACAACTGCAGACTGACTCTTTTCTCTTCCCAGAATTCTCCTATCCTTGTCACCCCACCTCTACTTCCTGCCTGGTTGTCCTGCCTATACTTCCTTTCTGACTACTGGCCAATCAGTGTTTTATTAGAACAACACAATATAAGTGACAGGGTACAGACTATTGTCCCACAGCAACCATCTGTGATGACTTTAGTGGGACAACAGGAGAGATGAACAGTTGAATTACAACATGTCTTCTAAAACCTAAAGCATTTACTACGTGGCTTTTTTCCAGTTTGCAGATCTCTGCTTTACAAGAGAGATGACCTAAGCTTCTCTTTATTCAGGTCAAAGGTATTTGAGAAACCCTTATGGAGCCTTCCACATAGAACTACAGATGGCAGAACACAAGATAGTTTTGAATAAGCTTTTACAATTTGGAGAGTAGGTAGGCTTTAGATGCAGATGACATTCCTAATTCCAGGATTCAGTACCTCAGTTACACCAGAAATAGCCTCTTCCTATCACTTTCTGAGAAAAACATTTGCCTTTTATTTTATAAGCCCCTGGAGCCCAGAATGGTAGTGCTCACCTTCAGTCCCAGCACTTGGGGGACAGAGGCAGGCGGATCTTTGTGCATTTAAGGTCAGTTTGGTCTATATAGTGAGATCTAGGACAGCCAAGGCTACATAGAAACCCTACATCAAAATAAATAAATGAAAAATGAAAGATTCCAGAAATGAGTAAATGAAACCTGTTTTAATGAAGACAAGGACTAAAGATAAGGTTGTTTTTCCTTAGAAACTTATTTCATAAATAAGATGATTCTCTCTGAACTCACCTGTCCTTCTAATAGGTCACAATCTTCATCTTTAACTTGTCCATTAATCAAATAAACACCATTTTCTATTTGCTTGGCCCAGCGTACAAGTCCACTCTTAAAAACAACATGAAATCTTTCAGATGGAAAGTTATCTTAGTCAAGCCTATTTTACTATTCTCCACTTAATACACTGAATCTTGAGAATGTCAATAACACGGTGTTTAAATCCAGTATCACAGATTAAAAAGTCCTAATCTTTTAACTTCTTATACATACTTAATAAATTTTCCGATCTTTTCCTAAAGTTTATATCACAAACTCCAAAGTCTTATTAACAACATGGGCATAGAAATAACATCCAATAGCGTCTATTATCTTTTCACAAGTAGAAAAATGAGCCTTGAGTAACATAAAGCAGTATTAAAGAAGAAAAAATACACAGAAACAAAAAATGATGAAATACAAAGGAATAGAAAAAAAAAGGCCAAAATAATCAGGGTCAAGAGAAGGTCATTAGTAAATCAATGGACATAACTAAACTCTACATTAATACATATTTATTAAGTACCCACTATACTAAATATACTAGTATTATGACATTATTCATGCTAAAAAAAATTCCTAATCCAGCTAGAGTAACAAGCTCATTATACACATAACAACAACCATTTTAGTAGAGTACAAGTTTTAAGGATTATAAATATCACAACCAGATTAACAGCAGAGTCCATTCAGTAATCAATGAAGAAAATATATTTTACTTGGATACCTTTGTATTTTTTTCCAGAGAATAACTGACAGAAGTAGCCGACAGTGGGATGTGGATATTAATGTGAACAGTACACTCTAGAGACAGCCAGGAGGTAGAGACTCGATTTTGATACTTCCAATCTGCAGGTCTTGCTGAACTCTTTAACAGGGAGAAGGCGGAAAAACAAATCAAGATATGGTTTACATAAAATAATATGCATTAATAAACTAAGGTATAAAATCTCTATATAACTTGAACAGGCTAACATCTTGGACTGTTGACTAAATTCCCTGATTTAAGGGAAAAAGAAATAAAGAAATGATCATGTGTTAATTTTAATAGTCTTTCATACAAGCTAGACAATCCTGACAACCTCCTGGGAGTAGGCTGACGGGTCAGAGAGTGCTGAGAACTCTAAAAGGTGCCTGGGCACCAGCTTTCAGCCGTGGCCTCCACAGCCCATCCTAAAGACTGCGTGCAGCGAATGCCCACCGAGCTGCCCCTCAGTATGGCTGTGCTCTCCTTGCTTCCTACGCTGCTGAGTCATTTTCACATTGCTTTTAGGCAAATGCCGGTCTGGCTTCCGTACCACCCAGGGCGCCATTTGACTAGCACTGCTGCGACACAAAATCCTTAGTCACTTTCACCATCAGCATCTCAAATGTAAGCCGGGAAGCTAAGAACAACAACAGACAAACAAACACAAAAAACTACATGTGGTCATATACATTAAAAAGGACTGATGACACTGGAAATTACTAGAACTAAATATAAAACTACATTTAAATAAAGATGAATTTTGACTTTTAAAAGTAGCCTATAAAAGAGAAAAAATCTTTAAGGAGTAGTTTTTCTTACCTTTGGATCATGGACATCATAAGTTCGACAAGATAATCTTTACTAATTAAGGTCATAAATGACTCCAAAAGAATTCTTTTTTTTTTTTTTTTTTTTTTTTTTTTTTGNTGTAGACCAGGCTGGTCTCGAACTCACAGAGATCCGCCTGCCTCTGCCTCCCGAGTGCTGGGATTAAAGGCGTGCGCCACCATCGCCCGGCCTAAGAATTCTTGATAACAAAATGTAATCCCAAAGCCAAAATGGTACATATGAGTGCTTACAAGTTAAAATACTTCAGATGTTTAAAAGACATATACAGATATGCAGTGATTTTTTATTTGTATTTTAATAAATAAAGCTTGCTGAAGATCAGATTGCAAAGTAAAGTCACTAGAGGCCAGGGAATGGTGGCACACACTTTTAATCCCAGGACTTTGGAGAAAGAGGCAGACAAATCTCTGTAAATTCAACGCTACCCTGGACTGATTGAGAAACAGATCAAGGTGGTGGTGACTCATCTTTAATCCCAGTGTTTGGGAGTCACACACCTTTAATCCCAGCACTTGGGAGGTGGAGACAGAAGTGATATGGCTGGGTGGAGAGAAGAATAAATAGGGGAAGAGACAGGAACTCAGTGGAGTGTGGAGTCTGAGGTTTGGTGGAAACACAGTACAGTCTAGGCAGTCTGAGGATCACCCCTTCAGTGTGAGCTTCGGGACAGTGGCTGACTGCTCTGCTTCTCTGATCTTCAGCTTTAACCATGATATTTGTCTCTGGGTCTTTATTATTCATGCTACACACACACACACACACACACACACACACACATATATAGCTATGCACTTATATAAATGTTTGAATGTTTATGTGTTATGTATATTATGTATATGTATGAATTGCTGACTGTAGTATGCCTGGTATTTAAAAAAGCAAACAAACACAAATTCCCATCTGTTTGCAAATATTGCTAATCATAATAAATGGCAAGGAAGTGCCTATGAGTTCTCATTCACACAAACTCTACACAGCCAGCATAAAGGAGTGCTATTTCAGATAGGATCCAGCCCAGGAACATTGACTGGGTTGTGATACTTCCCAGGCAAGTGACAAATATGTTAAACATCTTCCACAGGAAAAGTCTATTTTTAATCTTGCCTTCTCCAAGTCTTCATTTAGTGGGTTCTTGGATTGTGTCCCTTCTTTAGTGACCATCTATCCTGGGGAGTTATAGAGGAGAGAGTCTAAGGAGGTCACTTGTCCATGGCAAAGGCTTAAGATTTCTACACTGTCCAGCTCAATTATGGATACTTCGAATTGCACATTTTAACTATAAAAATCAAAGATGAAAATTATATTTGTTTGGTTTGGTTTGGTTTTGCTTTTCATGACAGGGTTTCTCTTGAGTCAGTCCTGGAACTTGCTCTGTAGACTAACCAGGCTGGCCTTCAACTCACAGAGATCCACCTGCCTGGGCCTTCTGAGTGCTGGGATTAAAGGCGTACACCACCAGTGTCGGGCTAAAATTATACTAACATAGCAAAAACATTATATGCCTAAATTTATCTCTGAAAGGAACCTACAGTACAAAAAATATACATGGTATAAGCTGGCAAAGAATTCAGAATCCTAAGTCCTTTCTCTCTATCAAACTCTATAATTCAGCACATGACCAGTAGCCATTATTATTATTATTACTATTATTATTAACATTATTACTGGCAGCCCTAATCATAACGATGTGTACTTTACAAACTTAATAGTCTTTTCCCAAAAGGATGATTTAAACAAACGTTTAAGGAAAGGCTGTGATTTGCACGGCATATCAGGGAGAGGAGGGAAAAGCATGGCCACTGTAGTGTGCATGTGGGTGGTGTGGGCTAGCCATAGACATTAACCATAAACACCCAAATAAAAGATACTTTTTTGTAGAAGAACATATGTGAAGTATCACTCGTTCTGAGACCTCTTCCTCTGTGACATTCCATAGTCTTTTTCTATTCATAGATTTTTCCACAGAAAATATTAGCTGAAAGACAGAGAAATATACATGAATTCATCACAAAATGAAAAATGTGGAAAAAGGCAATGACAATTCCTAATCTTCAGAATTTCATGGACTATATCATGATACAGTAACCATTTGTGATTTCATAAAAGGACTCACATAAAAATTGAGTTTTAAGAAAAAACATAATTCTTTATAATTAATAATTAACTGGACATGATAAATTTTAGGCAACTAGCATTTATATAAAATATAGAACATAAGCTTTATTTTTGTTATAATAAGTGATTTTTCTAACCATAAAAATGAAACATGTTGCCTGGTTAACATTTCTTATTTAAACTTCACAAAAAATGAAAGCAGTAAAAAATTAGGAGAAAAAAATCAGAACAGTGACAGAAATTTGTGTCAGAAATGTTAACTATAAAACTTGGACTTGGGATTAGTTTAGAGGGTCATGAATGTGGCTCTAAGCTTTCTTCCAACAATGTGTAGAGAGATCTAATTTGTCATCTAATTCTTATCATCTATAAGCTGGAAACAACTGGTCAGAAGGTACATGCCCTTCCTGACAATATCAAAAGAAACTACTCCACAAAATACAATATGATATAATGACCAAAATTACTGGCAATAAACAACACATTTTACAAAATTATTTCTTGTAGTATCTCTTGAGACACCATTTCTTTCCAATGTTTATTTTCAATCTGAGATTGAAATTGTGTCTCATTGTATAGGCAAGGCTGTCTGTAAAGAGAGCACAGAGAACACACACAGGAAACCCTCCTAGGTAACCGTGCCGTCCACAATGGGCTGAGGCTTTACACAGCAATCCAGATAATCTCCCACAGACATGCTCACGGGCCAGTCTGGTCCTGAGGACTCCTCATTAAGACCGCTTCCCTGGTGAGTCTAGGTTCAGAGTGAAAACTAACTAGCACATGCACAGAGATTCAAAATGTATTCCAAATTGTCAGAAAGGATGAGCATCAGTGAAAAAGACCGGAAAACATGTCGGGAGGAATATATTCTCTCTTCCTATGCACAACATATCACCCATGTGCACTGTCTGAAGCAGAGGTTACAACAGTGGAGGTGTCTACAGCGCCTATAGATTGCGTTTTTAAATTGCCCCCAGCTACCAGTTTTGTTCTTCTGAATAGTATAAGGTTCCTCTTGCTCGCAAGGTGAGATATGCTCATGAAAGTATATGTAAAGATATGAAAGCTTCCTGAAGACTACTGTAGGTTTGAGTTTAAGAGAAAACAGCTTGGGACTTTTACATTTAGTTTTGGATTGATTACACTACCTAAACAAAAAATATGAGAAGCAGGATATGCACTCCTTCCAGGAATAAAGAATAAACATATGATTAATATTTATATATTAGCCTCAGAACTTCAAAAGATGTGACTAGCGTAACTTGATATTACTACAATCGCTTCCTCCTAAGTCGAGGGTCTATAAGAAAACTGCTATTGCACAAGAAAAACAGTTAAACCATTTTAACTTGTTGTATAACATTAAGATATCATCTTTTGAAAAATTGTTTTGAGGGCCAATTAGATGGCTCAGCAGGTAAAGGCATTTAATGTGGAAGCCTGACAGCCTGAATTCAAGCCCTGGGAGCCATGAAAAGATGGAAGGAAAGAAGAACTGAGTCTACAAAGTTGTCATTGTTCTCTGACCTCCACAAGTTCAGCAAGGTGGGTGCATGACCCCACCACCACCACCATATATACATGTTTAATAAACAAACCTTCAAAAATATTTTAAAATACATAGCTTTGATTGGAAAAATATTTAGATTCATTACATACAAGATCTGCAAATAAATGGATAGAAAATGCCATTTCCACAAACTGCAGCATAAAGAATTAATGGAACACTAATACATGCATGCTCAAGAGCAATACACATGCATATGATTAAATAATATGTAACTTTTATCTCATTAAGAGCGTATGTTACACTGGACTTACTCTGCGCAGGGCATTTTGAAGATCATCTGCTAGTTCTAAAGTTGTAACAATAAATATTCCAAGAACCACAAGTCCTCCAGGGAGCATTCTGGATACCTAAAGATAAAATACAGTATCAGCTATCATAAGCATGCTAGTCTTTTCTACTTGATATGGTAAACATTAAATCAGCAAATATTTATCCAGGACCAACTATCCATATAGACTCTAGGTAGAGGTCACTGAAAAACTAGAGTGTTACAATATACATAACCCTTCCCAGAGCCCTCTCGACTTTATATCTTAAGTCACTTTAATAACCTGTTTAGGTGCATCAACATATAGACAGACCTTTTCCCTTAAGACTTGTAAAGTGAATTTTTTCAATGGTCTTCCGACTATCTACAAAATAAATATTTTACCTTAGACTGCCATTTTAATCTTTCCAGAATCTGGCCCATCTGATGTTCAGAGACACAGCTGATCTAGTTTCACTGAAATAGTCAAGCATCGGTCAAAACTACTTCCCATTGACCACACATTGGCTTTCTAACTCCTATCCTTTCCTCAGGCTGTTTCGTAAGCCTAAACTGACTGCTCTTCTACTCTTGAGATCACTGCAAAGTCACCTTGAGGGAGCTGTCTTCGCTGTACGCCCAGCTTCCCTGAGAACCACTTGCATCCATCTAATCTGCCCTCTGTTTGTATCTTCCCTTCACTTGATGGGGCTAGTTTTTAAAAACTGCATGTGCTTTTCTCTGCCAGCCAAGTTCCCAGCTACAAGATTGCTTTTGCTAGCTTTCATAGACTATGGTATAAGCAAACAATCACAAAGTTAAAGGCTAGAAAATTAGATATTAAAGCATCATTTCTACTACATCTGTATTATTTCAACTCACGATTCCCTGACTCATAAATCTGATTTAATCAGTATGACAAATGTGACGAGGTTTTCATATTTATCATGGGGAACCCATGCAGTTTTAAAAATTATACAGTTAACTCTAGAGGTAAAAATAGTAATTTACTATTATAAATTCACGCATATTCTCTCCATATGTATTTGTATATAAATTATATAGGACACAGAAAACTTAATAGGGAAGATGGGGGTAGCTCAGTGGTTAAAGCACTTGCTGCACAAGCAAAATGATCAGCGTTCAAATCCCAAGAACCCATGTAAATGCTGGGTACAATGCAATTCCATCTTCTGAGAGTGAAGACAAGGGATTTCCTAGAGTAACCTGGCCAGCAAGACAAGCTGTATTAGTGGGCTCCAAGCTTGACTGAGACTCTGACTCAAAGAGTAACGTGGCAGAGTGATTGAGAAAGGTTACTGATATAAGCCTCAAGCCCCCACTATTATACACATATGCACACACATACACAGCATGCATGCACACTACAAACACATGAAAGAAAAAAATTGTAAAAAAATCAAAACCAAATATAGAATTGCAAGTTATTTATATATAGAATTAAAGTAACACATATAATATAATAGAATTATAATAGAATTAAAGTAATACCTTCTTTAAAAATCTTACTTCTTAGAATTGTTTATACTACTCTTCCAACACAAATATAAACACATGTATTTATCTTAGAGGTTTATAAATTGAAAAAGAAATATAATAATTCAACTTTTATCTTACTCTAATCATCTTTATTAATTTTTATATACCACAACTATACCACAACTCATTCAAGAAATATTTTAAGTGAATTAGCATATTTATTGCTTTTTCAACAACCCTAAAGCTATTTCCTTCTCTCTTAACAGTAAAATTGTCCTCACAAATGCTCAAGGTCAAAATCTCAGCCATCTTTGGCATTTTCTCTTCTAAATTTCTTTATTCTCAATCCACTTGGTCACTTAATGGTCATGAGTCTAGTTCTTTCTTTGAAGTCGTAATGAAGGTTAAGCCAATTTATCCATGCATTTTTTTTATCTAGTATTTTACAACTCATATTATTAACCATGGAAATGCTGCAAGCTCTCAGATTACAGCCATGAACACAAGAAACAACTCGTACCCTTGCAAAGCTCAGACTCTTGTTTGGGCTCAGACCTTCACTGGGTTGGACTACTGCTTTTGCTGTCGTTTCTCTTCCGTCTCCAGGTTCTACATTCCACCAATACTTTGCCAATACTAATGTTATCTTATAAATTAGTGGCAAATAAGTCACTTTACCTCTTTTAAAATACGGGGGTATAAAGGCTTACCACTGGATTTTTCAATATAATACTTTTATTAGTACTATGAGATTTTACACAATGTACTTTGAGCATATTTATCACCACTCTTCCAAGATCCAGCCCACATCCTATGCTTTTCCTTTCAACTTCGTGTCTTTTCTTTTCTTTTCTTTTAATAACCCCATGAGTCCAATTTGAGCTGCTCATATACTCACAGATGTGGGGCCATCCAGTGGAGCCTGATTGATCTACTGGTGGCCACATATACATTTTTAAGGCCACATCCTTTAAAAAGGACCATGACTCTCCCTATCCATACCACTGGACTTTTGTTTACCAAATATACTTTTTTGAATTATACTCCAAAGCCACCCATAAACGAGCCTTATATTTAATTACATTTTCTTACACGCACTGTGTTTCAGCTATACTCAATTGCCCAACTGCTTGCTGTTTTCCTAGTATTGTGTCTTTGTGTCTCTCACCCACACTCACACTCTTCTGCCTTATTGAATGTGTTCTTTGACTTGTTCAATTAACAAAGGTCTAAGAGTCATAATGTTTAAAGCCTTCTGTAAAATTGTTTTGAATGCAACTATTGGCATGCATTTAAGAAAGAATACTGTAAAATTCCAGTCTAGCAACCCAGGAAGCATTTGTTTCTCTTGTTACTCAATTGAATACAAACATCTATGTGGTGAGACAATTTTACCTGGCTGGCATGTTCTGTGGCCCATTCTTCATCCAAGGTATCCAACTTAGCTTTGGGATGCTTGACATTCTCATTGTGTTCCTCTTTGGGTGGTGTTCTAGTGGCAAGAATCACATAATCCTTTTGTGAAGAACACTTTAAAAACAAATTGTAAAAGCTTATTATAGTTATATCTGATTGAAGAACTAGATATCTAATGCAAAAATTAAACAGTATTTCAGAAATTTAAACTGTTAATACTCATATTATTATGGAAGCTATACTAGTGCAATATATCTCTCAGATGCTGTTCATCTTTAATGTATGTAATAGCAACTTATTATTTACTTGAAGATCCTCAATATAAGTAATAGGGTGGATTCCTATACATTACTATAGATGATTCTGGAACTGTGGATGTAGCTCAGTTGGTACAGTGATTGCCTGGCATGCAGAAGGGCCTAGTATCAATCACCAGTGCCAGATAAACCAGGATGATGGCACACTCAGGAAGTAGGGGAAAACCACAAGTACAATGGCATCTCTGTTATTGCTGAACATGTAAATGAACTGACATAATTAAAATGTAATATGCTTAGTCACTACTCCAATTATTTTATCTATTGTCTCTGTAATTTCAATGAATTGGATGTTTAACAAATATAAAAGTTCATAGTTCAAAGTAAATAAATAAATTGACATAGATGTATCAAGAGAACAACAGAGGGGATTTGAAACAAAATTCAAAGGGTTCCAAACTCCAGGTTCTTCATTTTTAACAGCATTTAAATGGTAACCAAAAGAGAAAAATCTAAAAATAAATTTAAGGACTAGAAGAGATCTCAGCTTCACTGCAGCATGGTTCCCAAGTTGGCTAATAAGGCTCATAATGTAGCTAAAGTGGCATATTATCTCCAAATATGACCTAAAACTCCCTAGAGATCATTAGCATCACCTTGATATAAGTATTATGGCATGGTTAAGACATGTCTCTTAGGGCTGGAGAGATGGCTCAGTGGTCAGAATGAGTATTCTCTTGCAGAAGACCAGACTGAGTTCCCAGCAGCCACATCTGGTGATTTGCAACAGCCTATAACTCTAGATTGAGGGACTCCAACCCCTCTGGGTCCCTCAGGCATCCACACTCACGTAAGCATGTGCGTATATGCACACACACACTGAAAAAAATCACAAAATAAAATGTAAAAATATCTATCTGTATCTTTCTAAGTATGCCATGCCCCCCCCCCCTTTTCTCATTTTGTTTTGGAATTGGGTTTTACACAGCCCAGGCTGGCCTCAAACTCACTATGTAGCCAAGACTGATCCTTCTGCCTCCGCCTTCCAAGCCTGACACAGAGGCGTCGCTTCTTTCATAAGATGTTGAACTTTGAAAAGAAAGAGAAACTATGATTTAGAGTAGGAGAACGGCAGGCTTGAGAAGACAGAAGAGAACAAAAGTGAGCTCTGGAATCAAAGGAAGAGAAAGAATGCCACAATGAAGAAATAACGGCAGTATGGAGCTGGATATACTGGTTCCCGTGTATAGTGAGAATGGTAAGTTCAAGGTTAGTTTGGGTTCCATAGTAAAATGGCCTGTTTAAGAGTGCTGAGTGAGGGAGGAGATTGGCCTGGACCCTATGTCATTTGAGTCATCGCTCACCTGCCCCTCTTATACTTGGTAGCCTGGTTCCTTCACCTGTAGGAACCATGTATAAACACCTCTCTCCTAGCAGCCTCACCCCAAGGCTCTACCTGTACTGGGACACACTTCTTCCATCTCCAAGGAACAGTACAGACCTCCCTGTCCTTGGTAGTAATCACATTAGACAGTTTCAGTATACAAGTGTATTCCCAACATATCTGGTAAGAGGAAATGTCTGACCAGCCTAAAATGATTTTAGGTGCATGTGCAGTTAAACAAACTGCCTGTCAAGTGAACTCTTACGGGGAAAAAAAAAATCGTATGCCTATGAATTAATTTAAATTTAATTAAATCAGGTTTTAATTATGGTGAGGGGGCATGTATATTAGGGAAAATTAAGTATGTTATTATTATTATGTATGTAACCTAGCAATTAAAATAGACAATCAATCAAACTATATTCTTAGAAGCCAGCATCTCCTTCTTTTGAACCCCATAAAACTAAGCCACAAATAGCATTTCGGACACTTAAGTACGCTCACTCATGTGGCCTGCAGTGAATCTAGACTTCCACTTTGTTCCTTATGAAGTTACGTTGCCACATTTGCAAATCGGTGAGTCTTTATTTTCAATTATTTGGAAAAGAGGCCAAGGACCTGGAAAGATCCTGACTTTGACCGTGCTGTCAACCACCAGGAACACTGGGGCTGAAACCCGCGGCCTTATTTATGTATGTTGGGCAAGTACCAACTGAGCTATGTATCCAGTCCAAAACACAAATAAATATAAGCAAAATGTGAATAACCTGGTCAGTGAAGAGTTAAATTGTGCCATTTGGACATTATAAGTTACGATCATACTTATTCAAACACCAGCCAGGTTTCCTCCTTTCAAATATTAACTCAAAGATCCATTTTGGGCTACCTTCTTTAGTTCCTTCCATATACAACCTTGAATTTACTATTAAGTGCCGTACTTAATTTTAATTAATGAGTAATTTATTCTCATCAATATGCAGAGTAACAGACACATACATACCTGTCCTATCAAAAGACCAGAGACAAAAGATTTCCCCTGGAGACTGATGCTTGAAATATATTGGCCAACACTCTCTTCTACAATGTAGGTTCTTCCCATTATTGGCAGCCAGTTCAGTAGCCTAAATTACAAGAAATAAAGTTTGTATTTTGGGGAAAAAATTAATTTTTGATGTTTTAGCATGGGCAGATGGGTAATAAAGCAAAAAAAGCAAAAGTACAATCCTGACAATTGCCCTATGTCTTGTAGTGATTATTTTCTAAATAATCTTTTTTATACAATTGAAATGAACCTTTGGAAATCTGAGGACAGTGCTGTAAGAAACAACTCCCTGGAGGCTGAAGAGATGGCTCACTGCTTGCTGCTTTTCCAGAGGGCCCGAGTTCAGCTCCTAGTACCCAAGTCCAGTGGAGCACAAATGCCTGTAGCTCCAGCTCCAGGAAATCTGAGTCCTTCCTCTGGAGCCTGCACATGTGAGCATACTCACACAGATTTGCATACCAAATAAAATCATAATAATAAATTAAAAAAGGACAGACTCCAGAGGCTTTCTGTGCTTCTTTTAAGGCAAGGTTTCACTATTTCGATCCGAATGACTTGGAACTCACTTTATAACCTTGGCTGGCCTCCTCAACTCCTGCTTCAGATCTGCCTCCGCCTCTGGAGGCTGGAATTTCTAGAATATGAACGATGAATTTCTGATTACTTCACTAAGAGGTAGAGAGATTCACTGAATAGCCACTTAAGCAGAAAGTAATGCAGCAACGGCAGCTATCTATACAGCTTCCATTATTCTAAGTACTTTACCGGCACTGACACTTAATACATAACCCCGCGAAGCCAAGTATTATTATAGGCGTCTCCACTTTATACATAAAGAAATCAAAAGAAGAAAATGTTAAATAACTCCTCCAAATGACAAAACTGGCGCGTGGGAAAGGCGGGAGTCAGGCTCTGACACTCTGTTTTGCTCACACCAACAACATACTGTCCTTCAATTAAATCACTGCAAAGGAGCGCTCCTGTTCGCTCCTTTAGTTTGTGAATGAAAACTAATATAACATCCGTACTAACTTAGTCCCTCCCACCCCCATCATTGAAACAGGGTCTGACTACCCAGGCGGCACGAGAATTAACATTCTCCTGCCTCTTACTCCAGACTACTGAGATCACAGACATGTGCTAGGCCCTATTTTCAATCAAGAGTCAATAAATTCTTCCAGAAATGTAACCAGGTAGGAAACAAAGTACATACTCAAAGTGCTGAAATACGACCTGGAAACAAATACGGTTCTGTTACTGTGGCAAGAAGATAGTGTGGCAGTTGTTTTTAAAACATTTTCGTATAAAAATACCAACATCACACATTTTTTTTCTGCAATGTCATCTTAATACATAAACTACATTCAAACTCTTCCTGGTTTCTTTTTGTCTAAAATATTAGCTGGACTACTACTTAAATTCGCATTGATCAGTGCCTGCAACCCCCAAAAGCAGGTTGTACGAGGTTTGACAGGAGCTCAACTCCGCAGAACTGGCCGTCGGTGTGCACCAGAGTGGCTGTCCATATGTTTCCTACACTATGGCTATTATACATATTATACATATCCACATAGCCTTTCCTTTCGCCCCTTGAAGACGAAGTTGTTGGTGCCCCAGTGCACACACATTCGTAGGCCGACTCACTTGTTCTCAGAATGTGCACACGTGGCCAACAAATCCCTCGAACCTTCTGTCAGCAAGAGAATTCGGGTGAGAGCAAAAGTAGCTGCCTTCAAGGGTCAGATGCCACCAGGTCCCGCTTCGACAGCCAATGAACTCATCAGAGAGCGACTGCAGACGCGCCACTTCCCTTTCCAAACGAGGGCACCGGCGGGCGCAGCTTGATGACGCGGACCGCTCGCACCCATATCCGCGCTCTTCTACCCCAAAGCGAGCGTGGTCTGCACCCCGCCCCCTCCGGGGCACCCCAGAGAGCGTGGCGGTGGCCCGGAGCCTGTGGATCTGCCCTGCCGTGACCCTCTAGTGCCCCGGTTTCTAGAAGCGGCCACCGAGGAGTACCTATGGCATCCCGGGGTTTTGACGGTAAGGTCGCCTTGCACCTCAGGGAAGGACGAGGGTGGCTGAGCACGTCTGTAGCGCCACCGCGCGGATACTCGCCACAGCCGAACGAGGAGAGCCGGGGGCGGGGAGAAAGAAGGAAGCGGAACGGGAGGCGCGGGACTGAGCTCGCCGAAGCGAGGGAGAGAAATACTACATCTCCCTTGGAGCCCTTGGGTCTGGGAGCAGGTGAAAGCAAAGGCCGGGTCGGAGGCCCGCTGTGAACTCGCATTCCCAGCGTGCCTAGCTTCCGGCGTCTGCGTGCGCAGCGAGGGCGCGGCGGTGCCGCCCGTGCTGCGTCTAACGCGGGACTCTATTTCCCAGGGTCCCGCCGCGGGAGTCTCCGGAGGGCAGGCGCGAGGGAGGCGGCGAGCGAGGCTGGAGACGGCGGGGCTCAGGCTCCGGGCTTTCGCGCTTCGCCTTGCTCCTTCGTTTCTCCTTCGGCCCCTGCTGCCGACATGGCGGCGGTGCTGCAGCAAGTGCTGGAGCGCTCGGAGCTGAACAAGCTGCCTAAGTCGACCCAGAACAAACTTGAGAAGTTCCTGGCTGATCAGCAGTCCGAGATCGACGGCCTGAAGGGGCGGCATGAGAGATTTAAGGTGGAGAGCGGTAAGTGCTGAGCTCTTAGAGCTCTGGTGTTGGAGCTGTGGCTAGACTTTCCTCTTTACCCGCTTGCAATCTGCGAGGTGTGCAGGTAGCATCACGCAGGCTCCATATGCAATATAGGCCTCCTCTTTTCTCCTCGCTCTAATTAAAAAGAAAAAAAGAAAGAAAAGAAGGCAAAGGAGCGATCCCTCCTCCCAGATCTACATCCACCTTCTCGTCTTTTGTAGGAACTCTTAACTTGGGCTCAAAGACAGACTGGGGAGAATTTTGGACAATTTACCCAATATCCCTAGGTCTATGCAACCCTAATCTGATTTTGTTTTGTTGTTCTTAAAATGACAGTAATTCCTATTTTCCACCCACCTGGATTTATAGACCATTGCCAACTTCACCTCTTCAATGCCTGCTCTTGGTGTATGTATCACCCTGTGGTCCCATAAAGAAGTAGATAGTCACAAAAAGGAATTTGGATGCAAAAGACATCCCTAGAAAAAGCAGTGAAATCGCACTAAATGAGTTGTATATATATTGTGTTTGCCTCAGAAAGATGGAGATTGATAGAAAATATATACAGATCTATTTATACATCCTTGTAGTCACTTTCATGTAAGTTGTGGATTTTCGATTTAGAAAGTTGTGGATTGTGATTTTGAAGAGCCTTGATTTAAAGGTAATAATAATCACTCATAATAAAATAGGATTTTTCTTGTCACGTGTTTTGGTTCACTGTTAATATAGGAAATTGGTGTTGTATTTTGGTAGAAATTTTCATCTGAATTAATTTTCACATGTAGTTATCAGGCAGAGTTGCTAATTGAAATTATACAGATAATTGGCGAATATAAATATTTACATAATACACTGTATTGTTTATTAATTTACACAGTAAATATTGAGTGGTTTATATGTTCCAATACTGGGACGAAGTAAACACAATTTCATTTTGTGGGAAGTCTGCAGGTTTATTTTTACTGAAATTTTATCAAGTGGTGTTTTAATTATGTTGCATGAAACCTTTTAAGACTTCAGTTTTTAATTAAAAAATTTCAACTTAATAAGTACTTATTTTTAAATGTTTAGCAATCTCTGGAGGTCTGGAGAAAATATCAGGATACAGCATTGTTGCCCGCTTCGAAGAAATTAATTTATGAATCTCCTTTTAGGCATTATTGTCTTTTGTTATATGCCGGTTGAAAATGTTGCGAAAGTCCTTCTCAGTGCTAAATTTAGTTATTGAGATTAGATTTTTCCCATGTTGCATCTTAAGTTTTGCCGTCAGTATTCTAAGAAACAAATAGTGGTATTAAAACTACTGCTTTGGGCGGCATGTGTGCTTGACCTTACTCTTAGTGTTTGGACTTGTCTTTTGTAGAACAACAGTACTTTGAGATAGAGAAGAGGTTGTCCCAGAGTCAGGAGAGGCTTGTGAATGAAACCCGTGAGTGTCAGAACTTGCGACTGGAGCTTGAGAAGTTAAGTAAGTATTAAATTATATCTCTATAACTGTTCTTGGGTGTTCAGTTTGTATAGCATCACATAGGCAGGGAGCCTGCCCCACCCGGAAACAGGTTTTGCGGGAAGCAAAGCTCAAAACAGGGTTACAAACAAGGTAAAGACACACCTAGCTCCCCTGACTTCCAAAGGCAGACTGACCACTGCCACATCTGCTTAAGTCCTGTATTAATCTCCTCATTCTAAATGTCCTTGGGACCTTCCAAACATCTGCCTCCATCCAGACCACAAACAAGTCTAATTTGATGATAAGAGACCTTGGGCTCACACCTCTCCCAGTACTCCCTCACAAAGAATCTTATGAAGACCTACTGCTGTCTCTGAGAGAGCTGCAGCTTTGCTTCATACCCGAGGAGTACTGAAGACTTTCAACTTTGTATCTTTCTAGCTCCTTCTCCCTCTCTCCCTAAAACCAACATGTTGTTCTTTGTGGGCGTTGGCTAACAATATGAGAAAATGCTCTGTAGGCATTGCAGTTTGTATTCATAGACCTGACAAAGACATAGGTTGCCCCAGCCAGAAGCACTGATTTCTAATTCTGACTTTGATATTAAAAGTGGTTTCACCACACACACTATCATGCAGTCTTTTTTAAAAGGATGAAAATTACCACATGTGTGTCTATTTCCATAGTTTTGCATCAGAGGTACTTTTGCTAGTGTTTGAAGTAGCTAAAATGTATACCTAAAGGTTAAAATAGTGATTTGCTTTCCTGTTGAAAATTCAAATCTTGATTTCATTATACTGTTACAACATTTATAACTACCACTTCCATAGTATTTCTTCTGCAGTGCTGAGTTATTGAGAGTGACCTTAGTTACAGGTTATAGAGGATGCTGCATTGTGTACTGTTAGAACATTCCAAACTACAAGTCCCATCATATTTCTCTTGTGGTGCCTAGTTATTGAGAGTGATCTTAGAGTCTATAGAGGATGCTGCAATGTGTACTTTGCTTATGACAGAAGAAAACTTGAGGAAAAGCCTTATAAAGGCCTTTAAATATAGTTTGATTTGATTTGACTTCATAGACAAAGAACACAAGAATCTTATAATCAAGTGATTAAATAGATTTCGAGTTTTCTCTGGCAGTTTGGTTTTTGATTTCTTCAGCAACTTTTGATAAACTAACAAAGATGTGCGTTACACACACACACACACACACTTGTGTGCACACACATGCACACATGTTACTTTTTTTAAATATTTATTTATTATGTATACAATATTCTGTCTGCGTGTATGCCTGCAGGCCAGAAGAGGGCACCAGACCCCATTACAGATGATTGTGAGCCACCATGTGGTTGCTGGGAATTGAACTCATGACCTTTGGAAGAGCAGGCAATGCTCTTAACCACTGAGCCATCTCTCTAGCCCCCACATGTTACTTTTCATCAACAAAGCATAATAAAGCCTGCCCAAAAAAATGGTACTGAAGGGTTTTAGGAAAATGACTGATTTCAGCTTCTTTTAGGAAGTGCTTAGAAAGGCAGGGATGAACATAGAGATGCGTTCTTTCTTGGTGTGGACAACTGTGTGTAAAGTGTGTACACAATTACACGTGTTTACATCTGGGAGGTATTAAATAAAACAATAGAAAATTTAGAAACAGTTTTTTGTTTTCTTTTTTTTTAAGGATACAGTTTTTTTAAAAAAAAATGTTACATGGGGAGATGGTTCAAGTGATTAAGAACACTTAACTGTTCAGTTCCCAGCGCCCATAACCTTCAAAAATTCTAGCCCCAGGGTACGTGATAACCTCTCCCCTCCTTGGGCACATGCACACACGGCATCCACTTAACTCTGGCACACACATAAAGATAAATCTTTGTAAATTACTCTCCATAATGTAGCGTTCGCTTGTTTCCTCTTTGAGGTAAGGTTGTCTCACTTTGTAGGCTACACTGGCTTTGAACTTGGAGCTATCCTCCTACCACTGCCTCCCAAATGCTAGGATTATAAGTGTGTACCAGTACACCTGGCTTTAGATGTTTTCATGAAAGAAATTTTCAAGTGTGTATTTTTCCTTCATAACTCCGTGTTCTAAGGAGGAGAGGTGAGTATATGGGAAGATATACGCACCATGAATGCAGACAGAGTGCAAACATAATTCTTTCTTCTTCATGCTTTTTAGTGATTAAAAAAGGCACAGAATTTCACATGTTTAAGACATGTAATGACTGTGTTTTATATAGTTCAAATTATATTATGAAAGTAAATAGAAAAATGCATTGAAAAACTGACATTGCTAATTATACTACAGATTGGGAGTAGAATTATTAAGTTTGATTGAAGCATATTTAAACTTTTGATCTGGAATACAGTAAGAACAGAGTGTATTCACAAATTTGGAATGTGGTATAGATCAATCTTTATGGACTCCAATTCTTCATTTTGAAAATGTATAATGGTGGCTGTTGGGTAAAAATTCGAAATTTAAGTTAACGCATCTGTGTGCATTACATTCCTTCTCTCTAGATAACCAAGTAAAAGTATTAACTGAGAAAAACAAAGAACTTGAAACTGCTCAAGATCGTAATCTAGGCATTCAGGTAAAACGCTGTCCATAATGAAGCTGATTGCAATTATGATATTTAAAGGTTTTCTGATCTGCTTTTATGTATTAGCTAGAAGCTGCCAGCATATATGTATGTAGAAATGTACATACAATTTCTCTAAATTGATATTTGGTGTATTATCTTTTGACTAGCAACCATAGCCCAGCATTCAGCATGTTTTACTACAGTTAAGACCAGAGTTTGAATCCCTAGCACCCACATAAATGTTGGGTGGCTGTGGCTGCTGTTTCATAATTTCAGGGCAGGAAGGAGTAATTGATCCCCTGAACTAGACTGATAAAACAGTATAGATTCTCTTGGTTTCTATTGAGGCATTGCCTCAATGGATAAAGTAGAGAGCAATCAAGGATTTACAGCAGGCACCTGTATTTTGTGAGCCAGCTCTGGCCCTTGTTTTTTGGGGGGGAGGGAAGCATTCATCATTTTGAGTCAGGGCCTCTTTCTAAATAAATAAATCTGTTTTTAAAATGTTAAAGGGAAATAGAGACAAAGGAAATATGTGTAAATGGTGAATTGTTTCTCAACTTATAGCAAAATGTACTTTGTTTCCATTTAAAGTTTAACGTTCTCTGTAT